ATCGTTTAGTAAAATATTTAATTTATTGTATTTATTAATATAAAGACTTTCAGCTAGGTTTAATTTATGGCTTCATGGCAATTCTTCTAAAATTTGAAAATTATCATTAAAAATGTGTTTTTTCATAAGGCGTTTCTCAATCCTTGTCCATTTTGTTCTTTGTCTTACTCATAATTATGAAAATAATATATACTTATCCCAAAGCTTAATTAGTAGATGTGTCTAATTAATTTACTGCTAAAGCATATTCCTCATTATTTTGTAATTGTAATAGTTTCGTATGTATGTATGTTTATTCATAAAAACTACGGCTTTTCTTACTTAATTGAAAGATTAAGACGAAAATCCAAGATGTTTTTAAACGAAAGGGTCATTGACAAAATTTTGTAGGTCTTTTATGTTATGAAATTCTTTGAAGCAGCAGTTTATTGTTTAACCAAACAAATCTATTTTGGCATATTTGCACACAGTCAACTCCATATTCTTATTCAAAATAATTTGCTTGTGATATTTTTTAATTAAGTTTATTATAAAAGGACTGTTTAGTATATTTTTGCAATTATTTTAACGTTTGTTAGCATGTATTCATCAACACGTTTATGAGACGCTCTATATAATATGATCGAATATGTAAAATAGAGACAAGTGCATATAATTTTACATTTTCCGAGTTAGGTAACGAAATTTTCACTAGATTACGTAATGCAACACATCAAATAGTTCAAAATACATAGTTTAATAACCTTGCAGTTTCTCTTGGAAGTTCTTTTGAACATTTACCGCTATTTTATAGTACGAGACATATTATCCAATTTGAATTAATTAATTATTTTAAATAAAGATCGTAGTGTGTAGATAAGGTCTCATAAAATATTCAGATTCTCTTGTCTCTTCTCTTTTTCAGTTAACCTTCGCAAACATAATTTGAATTTTAAATGAAAAATTCAACTATACATATGCAAGCACTAACAGTTAGAGAAGCAACGTCTACTGCAATACTTACCATTTAGCATTTTTCCACCTACCTGCGGCTACGTACTATACTCACGAGGTGTATTAGGGATAAATAATCCAGTAATGTTGTGTAAACTTTAGCAAACATTGCATTGTTGCTTGTTTTATCTAAATTTTGAAATAGCGGAAATATCAAGCCCATGTACCCACTATTACTGATAAAATACAATACTTTTGGTTTACATAGGCATCCAGGGTATGGAGCTAAAACTGGTTTACCTATTTCACATATCATTGTCGTAAAATATACATAAATTTTGCTTATTGTTTATAACTTTCTTAGGATTGGACAGATTTATCAATAGGCGAAGTAGGCATATGCCTAGGGCGGTAGTGAAAAAGGGATCGTACAGTTTAGGGTCTACTAATATAAAGGAAC